GATATTTCCATAACTGTAAAGAGAGTTTAATTCTACCAACTTTATTCAAGCTCAGTAGTTGCCTCCATCAAGAATAGTCAGATTGAGAAACGAGGCCAGCATAATTCCAGTATTTAATACTAATAGCATAGCAAAAAGATCCAATTTTAAGGTCAATTTAAAACTTAATCAAAGACAAATTAATATAGCGAATTTCTGGCAAGAATTGTTATTACTACAAATCTTGATAACATTTTAAATGGATTCAGACTCAATCAAATGGAGCTGCTAGGGAGCTCCATAGATCATGATAGAACCAAACTCACCATTTTCTTTAGAAGTTAATAGATGAGAGAGAAAAGCCTTAGTTCTTTGAGTGTTTGCTAATGTCCAATCCATGTTAAGTGTATGTTCTTGCTACATGCACCTATCCTGAAATTTTTTCTCTTAGCAATATTCATGGGGGAACAACTCTGGTGCCCTCTGGAGCGGCACCTGAATGACGTAGCATACAGGTGCTGCCGGCTTCCCGCACGCTCCGTTCCTTCTTACTACCAGTGATGATGCTGGAATGTTTCTTTGCTTCAGCTGTCGTTATCTCCAGATCTTTTTGATGTGAACTTGCTATTGTAAATCATTGTTTTTAGTTTAGTAGTGTTCCCTTACTGTGTTATTGATATTTAGACTGTCCCTGATGCATCTTATCCTTGGGATGGGGCTTAGGAGACTCTCATATTGGTGGCAGATATTGCATATGTAAAAGTTTGAAGCCATGCATTTAGGGCATGTCCAGACTATGCTCGGCCTCTGAAAGAAGATATACAAATTCGGCATGAATTTGCCTATCTTCTTCTGATCCCTTTTTTGGAAGAGGTTTTTCAGAAAAAAAAAGCAGTCTAAATGGGGTTTTTCTCACAACCCTCCCTTTTTGGAAAGGACCCTTATTCCTCAGAAAATGAAGTTTACAGGGTTATTTTGAAAAAGGGGGAGTGCAAAAACCCCCTTCTAGACTGCTTTTTTTTCCGAAAAAAACCCCATCTTCTGAAAAAGGAATCAGAAGATATGCAAATTCATGCCGAATTTGCATATCTTTTTGAAAACCAAGGTTAGTCTAGATGTGTCCTGTTAGAAAGAGCAGAACATTCACTTTAAAGTGTTACTAGTTGGCTCAGACACTAGCACTGGAACTACCGTGGTCAAACTCCACCTAACATATTGTGTCCTCGGTATAAAGCACCCAGCTTGCAACATCATCAAACAAGTGAATATCCACCTCCCAGAACACTGGGGCTATGTCTACACTGGCCCCTTCTCCGGAAGAGTCATGCTAATTTCAAACTTTGGAATAGGGAAATCCGCGGGGGATTTAAATATCCCCCGCGGGATTTAAATAAACATGTCCGCCGCTTTTTTTCCGGCTTGGGGAAAAGCCGGAAAAAAGCGTCTAGACTGGCGCGATCCTCCAGAATAAAGCCCTTTTCCGTAGGATCTCTTATTCCTACCTGAAAGGAATAAGAGATCCTCCGGAAAAGGGCTTTATTCCGGAGGATCGCGCCAGTCTAGACGCTTTTTTCCGGCTTTTCCCCAAGCCGGAAAAAAAGCGGCGGACATGTTTATTTAAATCCCGCGGGGGATATTTAAATCCCCCGCGGATTTCCCTATTCCAAAGTTTGAAATTAGCATGACTCTTCCGGAGAAGGGGCCAGTGTAGACATATCAATTTCTATGGGTAAGGACAAGGCAGGAAGCAAGCTATATCCATAGAGGATGGTTCATTGCCTGTAGGTGGAAGCTGGGCCCTGCTTCAGCCAAGCAAATTAGACCTCTCATGGATGCACCTACCACAACAGACAATGGTCTGGGGATCCAGACCCTGAAGATGCCATTGACCAAGGTGGCATATAAAGCAGCACAGGACAGTTTGTCCCTCATGGTGCCACCCAAATTACAGATGTCACCTTCCCCATGAAGGGAAAGCCTGTCCTGAGACCACCGTTTCAGTCAAAATCAGTGCGACTGCACTCACCACCTCAGACAGCATCCCACCAATGCTTGCCCACTCAGAACCACTGCACCTTGGACATAGGGATGGTGCCTACTCAGAGCCCTTAGCACTGGTCTCTGAATTCCAGACATCACTCTGCAGGCTTAAAGCATCAGTCACTGGCAAGGTGGAGTAGATGTACCAAGGCACGCTCAACATTATAACCACAGTACCGAGTGTGTGATAGTCACTTTCCATCAGCACAACACCAATCCTACAAAGTTCTCTGTTAGAACTCTCAGTATAGGTTTCTGACTGACTGGCTGAAGTCACCATTCCAGAGCTGATGCTCAACATCTCAGTGTTGATCATGGTCCTATTCCTATTCCAACATTCAGCACCAGTCAGCAAGTGTTGGGTGTAGATTGCCAGAATACTGTTGTTACTGGGATCTCCACATGGAGGGTCATTAACCAAGTACAGATCGAAATCAAACATAGTAGAGGACACAACAGGGACAGGGATAGCTGGTTGGTCTTAGTGCAGTCCCAGTCACTGGAGCATGGCTCTCCATCTCAGGTCTCAGAGTCAGGAGGGTCAAGATCTTCCTTTAATGACACCGCTCTTTCTCACAGCACAAGGTTTCTCATGGACTCAGAACCAGGGCCTATGTCACGGCATCCATGGAACCTCTGGCGGTTCACACAGCCATCTGACAAGTTTTTGACTATAGTCTCCCAACCACCTGAGACAGAATCCACCACACTCAGGACTCCACGGATATAATAGTTGGAGGAAAGAGCTAACTGAGTGGCTCAGATGAGGCAGCACCTGTGGCATCTGCATCATCCTCCTCATTCCCTGATGAGGCTGTCAGGGCCCCTGCCTGTAGTTTTCAAAGTTGATGCCAAAGCTCAACAGGAGCTTTTGAAGAGGGTGGCCTTGACCTTTGGGCTAGAAACCAAGAAGCTAGATGAGCTCTCATACTCCCTCTTTAACATAATTACCTCAGGAGTGCTAGCTAGAATTGCACTGCCAGTGTCTGAAGAGGTGGCTAAGATTACCAAAGCCCTCTGTCAGACACCTTCTTCAATACCCTAATGTCTAATCATGTGTAGCACAAGTACTATGTGCCCACAAAAGGATATGAATACAGTACCTATATATCCACCCTACCCTAAATTTGTTAATGAGTGGGAAAGTAGGGGTAGCCAGGATTATTCCCAGAAATAAAGAAGTGAAGAAACCAGACATTTTTGGGAGAATGGTTTATTCATCATCAATCCTGCAGATGATAGTGCCCTGTTGGGCCACTATGATTTCACCATCTGGCTGTCTATTGCCAAATTTATTGAATCTTCCCAGAGGACCTCAGGAAAGAGTTACAGGCTATCATGGAAGAAGGCAAGGGAATGACCAGGGGTGGGGCTACAGGTGACCTCGGACACTGTTGACTTAGTGGCATGGACCATGGCCTCAGCCATCCCTTTGACAAGGGTGTCGTATTTATGATCCTTGGGCCTGCTGATGGAGGTACAGAAGTCCATCCAAGACCTTCCCTTCATAGTTCAAGCCCTATTTGCAAAAAAAACCCCAAAACAAACAGATGACAGGCTACATGGGCTGTTGGATTTGTGCACAACACTCAATAGTCTTGACAAAGCAGTCAGTGGGAGGTTTTCATCAGTCTCTAAGAAAGTCATGTGTGGTGAGGACCTTACAGTTTAGTGTATTTCTAGAAAAATCCATGTGTAATAGCTTGAGCGGAGTCTTTTATGCAACAATTCTTGCCACTCAAAACAGAGTAGGACTTCAGTGCAGCACAACTAAGCTCAAGAGAAAGGTAGAAAGATGCATGAAAGAAATTACTTCTGCTCTATATGAGTTTCAGTAGAGTTGCCCTACTTTAATTAAGAACAGAGTTTGGTTCAAGAAGTCTTATTCATTTGTTCAATGCTTCTTCTATGCCCCCAAAAATATTTAATATAATTATAAAGCTTTGAAATTACTAACTAAAATAGTAATCTCTCAGTGACAGGCCAGGGAATTAGTCTTTCTGCCAGACTTGATATTATTGTGTTGTTTCTAGTGTTTTTGGCTTATTTTCTCAATTAGACCAGCAACCTAGTTTTTAATAAGGTCTACCATAACAAGAATTGTCATGACTATCTGAAAATTATATTACTATTTTGTTTCTTCTTCTTCGAAGTTTAGTATATTTTAAACGGTAACAACAAATCTCTGACTTAGCATTCTAAGTCCAAAACCAGATAAAACATGGTGTTTTCCCACTCAGTCACATAACTTTGTTTTGATACATGTATTTTATAATATAAAAGTTGCCCATTCATATTCTAAAGTGTGCCTTTTGCTTCTCATACAACTTTTTGCTTCTTGTAGCTCAGTTGATTTCAAAATAGGGCCTGACTGAGGACCCATGGGGGTCAGCAGACAATCTCCAAGGGGTCTACAAAAGGTTGTTGTTACCACAGAACAGTGGTTTTCAACTTGCAGATTTTGTCTATAGTTTCCAAAAGTATCTGCACCTCCATTCAAAATGCTTTAGGGGTCTTCAAATTAAAAAAAAAAAAAAAAAAAGATGAAAACCACTATTCTAGCTAGTCAGTACCTAAATGCAAAAATGTTCACATCTCATAGAGGTTTATTCTAAGTTAAATTGCAACTGTGTCAGAGGGTGCAATGTAAATTTTTTCTACGTTTAACAGAATAATAGGCGAGTTCATTCTTTGTCATGTTACGTAACACAAGTGTGTTCATAACCAATTATAACAAAGTAAATGGTTACATTATATCATAACATTATATTCAACAATAGAGTCAAAGGTTGATTTATCTTCATTACATTTTATAATTTAATTATAAATTATCACTGAGATTTGTCTCTGACTGCACTACGAGAGAAAACTGTCATATGCGCAGATATTTCCAAAACAGCTTATTTCATCAAATTGCTTAGGTAAGGACAAACTGTGGAGATTAAACCCTCTTCCTGCATGTGTGTAATTCTCACTTTTAGTTATGTGCAAATGGAGGTAGCTGCTTCCTTGATGAAGACAACCAGAATCCTCTATGTGTCTGTGCTCCTGGATGGACTGGACAAACGTGCCTGGAGAACATTAATGACTGTGAAGAGAACTGGTGCCAGCATGGAGCCACTTGTGAAGATGGAATCAACAAATACAGGTACGAACATGACACTATAAGTGTATTCATAGAAGTTTGTGCAGACTAAAGGCAAAGTTGAAATATTATTCCCTAAAGTTGAAATTAAAATGTGATTTGCTATTGCATTCCTGTCCTCCTTCAAATCTTAAAATGTCATGGGCAGGAACTTGAAATAACTACATACATTCAATAAAATGTACTATTTAGATTGAAATATTTCACAGGCTGTTCTCACAACTATACACATTTTTATTTGACAGGGGGCTAAAATAAATAAAATGTGAACCCAGCAAAATGGTTCATCTTCACTTACAAAATGGCAAATAACTTTAAGTGTATGAAGTGGCAAATGCAGTAGCTCTACTTATTAAAATATAGATAAAAACAACTACATGGATAATAGAAATGCTGATGTATTTGGGGCTTTTTCTGATGGATGTTCAGAAAAAATTGTCAAACATATTCTAGTTTCCTTGATAAGCTGTAACACACTATACATATTTTAAACTCAGTTCAGTGAATTTAGAGAGAAAAAGATTGTATGCATAGGCACGATGCAGCTGTAATAGTGAACACTGAATTATTTTTCTGTCAGAAAAGAAGTGGTAAACAAAATCTCTGTATAATCTCTAATAATATTTTTGGAAGTTGTGTTTTTTAGGCTACCTCCAGTCACAGGCAATATTTATAATTCATATATTTTTTATAATTTGTATTATAAGATTGATAATAGAATCTATTCAAATATATGAAATAAAAATATTCTTGCTCTCTAGAAGTGGTGTTCTAGAAGTCTCTAATAAATAGTTATCTTAAATAGCAATTGACCCCCACACGCTAGTAAGAAAGAGTACCTTTTATATAATTATGATAAATTAACTGTGTTTTTAATTAAATAAACTATGGCCCTGATCCTGCCATCTGATTTATAATGCTTAGCTCCAGGACTGTTGATAGGAGGAGGCAATGGGGACAGAAGGAGGAGGCCCCTGGAGCCCAGCATTTCAAAGGTGCCTAGGGCTCCCGACCTACCTCTGCTGCTACAGCAGTGGTGGCAGCCGAAGCACCATTCCCCTTTAATTGCCTCCAGAGAACCACACCACATGTTCTGGGCAGCTCTGATGGCTGGGCAGGATGTGCAACTTTCTGGGCAGTGCATGGCAGGTCCATTGATGGGGAGAGGCAAAGGTGGCAGTTGCCGTTGGGCCGGCAATTCAAAAGGGTCCATGGATCCTGGCCACTGCTGCTACCGTAGCAGCGTCAGCAGCTGGAGCTCTGGGCCCTTTAAATCACTGCTGAAGAACCACACCACACACTCTAGATGGTTGTGAGGGCTAGAGGGGAGGGAGACATGCCACATTCCAAGTGCTGAGGAGGACTGGCTAACCCCAGCCCCTTACTTCTACCTGAGGCACAACCCCTTCCAGGAGCACAGAGCTGGATTCCCCACCTTATTCAAGGGTCTGCGGAGTCTGTCAGCACTCCTACTGAGTTCTCATCACACTGAAACCAGCCCCAGTAGATTCAACCCAGGTGCAGCAGTCTGCCCACGTGGATCAAAATGCTGTACTGGGGGCTAATAGATTATTTATACTTGTTGCTATCCTTATGTATCGTTATGATTACCATTTTAAAACAATGTGATGATGAACCTAGTTTCATATTTTAAAAGTATCCTACTGTATAGAAATAGTTTTGAGGACTCCATTTCAGAAAATCATACTGAAAAATCTTTCTCAAAGAGAAAACCAATAAAAGTAGACACTAACACCTAAATTTTCTGCTAATTTTTCATATTCCTAACATATTCAGTGCATCTTCCTATCAGTATGTATAATATAATTTTGTAATAATCTCACTAACAAATAGTAATGTTAAAATTGCACTGTTGCAAAATGGTCAGGAATATGAAACAGTCAATTTGTGTGCTGCCAGCATGATTATAAATTATATATATTCAGCTAAGTTTTGAGAAGCAAAAAACCTGAAGCTTTTATTGAAATATCCAGATCTGCTTTTGGCTTAAAGCTACCTGGAAAATTTAAAGAGTTGGATTATATATTTTTTTCATCTCAAGCTTTACACTTCCATATTTTTTTCATTCTATTGTACATCTGGAATTTAACTCTAGGACCTTACTGACATCCCCATTTAAAATGCTTGGTCTGTGGTCTGCATAGCCTTCTGTAACAATAATAGGCTTCTATGGTACCAAAAAGAGGTATCTTCTTTCCCCTACTTTACTGTAAGTCCAGTATATGTATATACATTGTTATTTCTCAAGGAGTATTTCTATAACAAATTACATAATATCATCTTTGCAGAGACTTCAGGTTCTTAAAGAAGCCACAGTGGAACTAAATAACCTTTAATCCATTTACAAATGTGTGTACAGTTCCTATTTCAGTTAGCATTTGAAATAATTAATATTGAGCAAATACCATTAATCTGTTCAGAGTATTATAATAAATAATATTTAATTTTAATATAATTTAATATTTAAAAATTCTCTACAGCTCCATTAGGAGGAATTTATCCTGTGTTAATGGTGAGCCTGGGGATTTCTTGTGCTTCCCCTATCTTGAAGTTACTGGTGGCTGATTGATCCCCCAGCAAGGTTAGAGCATCCATAGCACATGTCTAACTTGATCTTTGCAGTGACTGCTACAGGCTGTGCCAAGAGCCTAGAATCATGCATAAGAACTGTCATACTATCTGTGGTCTCCTCATCTCAAAAAAGATATACTGGTATTAGAAAAGGTTCAGAGAAGGGCAACTAAAATGAATGGAGTTTGGAATGAGTCCCATATGAGGAAAGATTAAAGAGACTGGGACTTTTCAGCTTGGAAAGGAGGAGACTAAGGAGGGATATGATAGAGGTCTATAAAATCATGAGTGGTGTGGAGAAAGTGAATAAAGGAAGGTTATTTACTTGTTCCCATAATATAAGAACCAGGGGCCACCAAATGAAATTAATGGGCAGCAGGTTTAAAAAAAATAAAAGGAAGTTCTTCACACAGCGCATAGTCAATCTGTGGAACTCATTGCCTGAGGAGGCTGTGAAGGCTAGAACTATAACAGGGTTTTAAAGAGACCTGGATAAATCCATGGAGGTTAAGTTCATAAATGGCTATTAGCCAGTATGGGTAAGGAATGGTGTCCCCCGCCTCTGTTTGTCAGAGGCTGGAGATGGATGGCAGGAGACAGATCGCTTGATCATTACCTGTTTGATTCACTCCCTCTGGGGCACCTGGCATTGGCCACTGTCAGCAGATATGTTACAAGGCTGGATGGACCTTTGGTCTGACTCAGTATGACCATTCTTATGTTCTTATGTTCTTCCAATATTTCAGTAGAGCTGGATCAATTTTTACATCAATCTTACATTGTTGTAACTCCAATGACTTCAGTGGGAATACTTCTGAATTACACTAGTGTACTTTAGAGTTGAATCAGTTCTTGCTAGCTCTCATTTTCCTTTCCTTTTGCCTTTCCTTACACTTTCCATCTCACAACTCTGCTCTACCACTGTCAGTCATCTATTATCTTCCATATATCTTGAAAAGATATTATTAACCAGGAGAAAGGGGGAACCAAGACAAGTAAACTTAAAAAATAAGACAAGCAACAAGAAGTTTTTCGTCTCAGATTTAATCTTTGGCTTTATCTGTGATTCTGATTCTTGGTGTGAATTAGTTGCAAAGCTTGAGCACAATAAGTAAGGATGGACAGGTAATGAAGTACAAAGTTGTAAACTAACTTCAGGTTATTGAGAAATCACAGACCTTCCTGGAACTTGGCATTAGTCATGTGCCAATGTTTTGCACTGGAGAGGGCAACAGCAGCAGCATAAGAGATAACAGTGTATCCTTCTATACTGGAATGTAGTTGAGGAGTAGAATATCATGTAGAAATCAAGGTAGAGGGATGTCCTACATGCAGCCCTCTTTTATAATTTTTTTCATGTTGATTGTGGATTTCGCTTCCTAACGCTGTTACTTGGGGGTATGTCTAGACTACATAGCCCCGTCGATGGAGCCATGTAAACTAATTTTCCTGACATAGTCAATGAAGGGGAGATTTAAATTATCCCCACTTCATTAAAATAAAAATAGCCGCTGCGCTGTGCCGACAATCAGCTGATCCGGCACAGCATGGTAGTCTAGATGCAGATTGGTCGACAAGGAAAGCCTTTGTCAACTGCTCCGTTATGCCTTGTTAAACTAACAGCTGTGCCCCATAAATGGAAGAACAATATAACAAAGAAGCAGCATATCTTACGTCCCTTCCTGCAAGCCTGGGACCCCGGGTAGGCTGCGGATGAAGTGATAGGTTGTCTCAGCTTCCGAGGCGCTGGTACCGAAAGCCCATTGGCGAAATCCGATTTGCTAGGCTCTGAGGCAGCCTTAAATACAGTTTTCCTGCCCTGTTTGGCAGTTTGGAAATTTCCAGGGCTTACTCATTAGTGCTGATGTAGAGCTTAGCTGTTAGTTATAGATCTAGTTCTGATCTGGTTCTTCTTGTCCTTTGTCCCTGTTTATGTGATCAGTACTTTAGGGTAAACAGAGTTGTTTATGAGTTCTTGTCCTTTAACCTTATCTTATACTTGTTCTTGCTATGCTGGCAACAATGCTTATCTTAAATGGCGTATGTTCCCAAAGACTTGCTTCTGGATCATCAGATGTAGGGGAAAGAGAAAAGGGGGGAAGGAATGCAGGCCTCACCACCCCTAAACTATCACATACAAAGTTCTTCCGCAATTGACCACTACACCGCTTCATTGACTATGCCGGGTAAACTAGTTTTCATGGCTCCATAGACGGAGCCATGTAGTCTAGACATACCCTTGGTGACAGATTGCTGCCACTTGGTAATAGGCTAGTGAGCAGCTCTTTCTTTCCCACATTTCCTCACATTTGAAATATAAATTACAACTACGCATTCTCTGCTTGTAGAGGTACTGAGTGTTGGTTGAAATATAGCACAAATACATTAATGCACAAATACACTTGCTTCCT